ATCTTTTATTTTTGAGAGTCTCTTCGTCCACGATTCATCTGTCCTCTGATCACTATTTGCCATGATGTCGACTCGAGACTAGCGTTCTCGCCGAAGAAGCTATGAGATGACTTGTGTGTCGGTTGACCTCGTAAGCTGCTAAATGATCTAGAAAATCCTCTATCAATGATCGAGGGTGCGTGTTGCTATAGAGTTCTGGAGAGTTGCATTGGTTTGAGTTAGGTTTGCTTGGGGACAAGCAAACGGTTAATTGTGGGGGGATTTGATGACTCGATATTTGCACATGTTTTCCCCTTTGTTTCTTGATCTTTTAAGCTTGCATTATCGCTTCTTTAGCCTATTTTACGCTAGGTTGTGTTCCTTTGTCACATTTCAGGTCCTAGCACATAAAGTGAAGCGTAGGCGCAAGTTTCAAGTCAATCGGAGATCAATTGGCGACTCGGGGGAAGAAACTCGGGTATGACTTGAAGAAGAATGGATTTCTACCTCTGTTTGTGACAATATAATCATGTAATCTTGTCAAGAGAAGAAAGAGGACGAGACTATGAGCGTCTGGGATCAAATGGCACCTGATTTGGAGTCTGAACGAGGGAGAAACGAAGAATCAAAGATAGGGGAAAATTGGTTTCGGGCTTCTCTGAGAAACAGAAGGGGGCCCTATCGTGACGCTAAAATCCCCGGTAGGGGATTTTTGGCCTTAATAGGGGATTTTCCCAAAAATCCCCTATCGTGAACCAAAATACCCGACAGGGGATTTTGACAGGGGATCGCGAACGCAGGCTGTTAAAAGCCTGTTTTGTGCGTTTTTGCAAGGGAGAGCTGGGTTTTGGATCCCAAACACCCAAGGGACGAACCAAAGAAAGAGAGGGAGATTTGAGGGCATTCTTGGAGTGGAATTGGAGGATTTCTTCGCCTTGGAAGCTTGAGGAACAAGCCCGGACTTGAAGACTGATCATCTGAAGATTCTTACTGCAGTCTCTCTCTTCTCTATGGAGTAACTTCCCTTCACTTAGGTTTTGAGGAACCATAGCTATGTTTGTTTGATGGGATGATTGTATGAGTACTCTGACTTGATAATCTTGAGTTCATATTCAATCTATGCATGATTTCACGATTCAATTCTGCTTTAGTCGAGATTATTGATTCTGCTTTGATCCTATGAGAGCGAATGCCTGATTAGGTCAATAGAGCACCATAGATTGATAGTAGTGGATTGATTGCTTTAGTCGAGGGTTGATTCACTGCTTTGTATCGATTGAGAACCTCTTTCGATAGAGGGAGTCTAGTTCAAAACGCCTTGATCGGTTGTTATAGAGAAGGATACGTCCCTCTAGGCAATCGACTCAAGAGGGCCTTGTTCCTTTAGTCGAGACTCAAGGTCTAGTAAAGGATTCTCTGCATTGTGAATGAAAGTGAAACAGGTTAGAGATCATCAATCATTAATCTGGCTAGTGGCTAGGGGGAATCATACCTAAGTGAGTTCCCAACCTGTGATTAGATTAACTTTAACTGTAGTTTGCTAGAGTAGTTTTAGTTCTTTCATCTTAATCTGGTTTGCTAGATAATGAACCGAAGCTGAGTAATAGTAACTCTAGAGACCCGTGGATTCGATATTTATTACTTAAGCCACTATACTGCAGTCCCTTTCATTGGTTACTCTTGGCCATTGATAGGAGTTGTGTCATAGTGAGTCATGTTCTCATTTGGATTGATGTAAAAGGGATTACCAAATTGTAGATCTGCGCGTTTATTGTTGTTGTTGGTGTTGTTGTTGGCGTTGCTCGTCGTCCCGGAATTCATCCAAGAGTAGGTGCCGAACGGAATGCTCCCTGGAGGAGGAGTGTTTGGAGGAGTCTCCGCCATTAGGGTTACTGGATCTGTAACCGCTCTGATACCATGAGAAAACTAGCTAGTGCTAGGGTTGATTGAAAGAGAAAGACTGCACGGAAATGGGAAATGCGCAAGAGAGCAAGGGATCTCTCTGCTATTCTTATATTCAGACTGAAGAGTAAAGTTCAAGCTACAAAACAGTGAAATCGGAAAATACAAAATGAAATTTAAATTGACAGTAAATGTAAACGACGTGTGTTCCTTTCCCATTCGTCCACCTAAGTTCCACCCAACGGTAAGTCTTCGAGCTCCACAACGGCGGCGTCTTGCTCTTCAACTAATGCTGGATGGGTTTCCGTTTCTGGGTAGATTTTCTTCTTCGTTTCTTAGTAATCCCCTGCATCTTCAGTTTGTTCTGCCTTCAGCTTCTGGTTGCTGCTTCTGCAATGGATCTTCGTCTTCATTATCATTTGTTACTGACAGTGATGGAGAAGGATGCTTCTAGTCTCGGGAACAAAGAGGCCGAAGTTCCCCAGCTAGCGACTACCTCCGGCGACATCGGGAAGTGAAGGAGGGAAAATGGAAGCCGGCAGCTAGTTTCTATTGATCTGTTGCCGGGAGACAGAGAATCGCCGGCGACGAGGGCGGGCGGTATGGCTTCCCAATTGATAGCTCCACCTTCACCATCCCAAATCTAATCGTCGGCAGCTCGATCATCCAGCTTCTTCCTCCGGAATGAAGTCGTTGACGGTGGCGGTGAGGCGGTTGGGAGGCCATCGGATAAGCTCTCGACGCCTCGGTTGCGAAGCGGATAACTCATCCTTTTCTTTTCCTTATCTGCTTATTATTACTTTAGTTTATTTTGGTTATTTCCCTTGCTATTTTGTTTTTTGTTTTTGTACTTTTGGTGGATAGAGTTGGAGAGGCGGTGGAGTGAAGGGCGTTCGCCTGTCTTTTTCCCAACTCAAAAGGACATGGTGGGCCTAAGTCTGGTGGGCTTGGAAAGGTTTAATCATTGTGAAACTGGCTACATCACCACAATTGCTGTTCTTGGAAGATCCGATCCGGCGATGCCTCAAGGGCATTTTGATTCTTTTTTAAGGGATCCTCTTTTATTTGTGTTGTTTGTTTTGTAGGGTCGGAATTGTTATCTCGATTGGTTTGCTTTTGGCCGATCGTTTCTCAGCCTTTTGGAGTTCTGGTGATGGTTGACCATGATTTTTGGAGCACGATCAACCGACTTTAATTCCGCAATTCTTGTGAGGTGTTCCGGGCTCTGTGTTTTGTTTATTGTGCAGGTTAAACTGTGCATAGGAAAAGTTGGTCCTCCAGGCATATCTACAAGGATTTGCTTCTCTGCTTCAATTTTAGCATGGTTAGTTCATGATATTGATCCTTTTAAGGGAAGAAATCATGATATTACACATGTCGTTAAGGTATCATATGGGCTGCCCATATCGTGGCAAAACAAGCCCTCTTATCGTTTGATCGCCTTTCGGTTGACCAGCGTCTCTTCCTTATTTCAATTTTGTGATTAGGCCTGAATAGGTCATGTATTTATATCCTCATATCTTGTTGTTTCCCTTACGGGATACCTTTGGCAAAAAAAAAAAAAAAAAAAAACAAATTAACACTAGAGATGCCAAATCGAATCCCTAGACTCCGCCCTCCCCGTCGCATCCGACAAGTTCTCCCTCGCTGACCAAGAAAAGGTCTTTTATTTTCCTCTCATTCCTGCTTTTAATTGTGGCTCACGATGACTCTCGACGGCTGAATTTTTTTATTATTATTTTATTTTGGGGGGTTTGAACAGGACAACTTGTTGAGAGAGAATGCTTCGCTCTCCAGTACTGTTAGGAAGCTCCGGCGCGATGTCGTCAAGGTTGGGGTTCGATATTTATTACTTGAGCCACTATACTGCAGTCCCTTTCATTGGTTACACTTGGCCTTTGTCAGGAGTTGTGTCATAGCGAGTCATCAGCCTCAGCCAACACAATTTTTTTTTTGCCATAGATATTCCAAAACGGAACAACCAGATACGAGTATATACAAACGGTGACCAAAGTCAAAACTAAAGAAAAAGTAAGGGACGCCGGTCAACTAGTAGTCGAACCCGCGATAAGAGGGCATCTTTCGCCACGATATGGGCAGCCCTGTTGTACCTTCGTGGAGCGAAGTGAAACGAGACACGTTGAAACGAGGCACTGAGGACGAGCACCTCATTCAGAATAGCGCCCCCAACCCGTGTGACGTATCCTTCGCGTTGACCATCCGAATGATCACCTGCGCATCACCACAAAATGCAACATTAGTAAATGAGTGATTGAGACACCAACGTAGAGCATCGCGCATAGCTATAAGTTCAACAAGGAATGGATCAAAGATGGAATCGTAAAACCGTCCTAGTGCAAATGTGACGGCGCCTCCTGGCTCGAAACCCACGAAACCAACACCACCTCCTACCGAATCCTTAGTCGCCCCATCAAAGTGGACAAGCAGCCCATTTGCAGGACACGGAGGGGGAGAAGAAGCCCCAGCGGGTTGCCGCTGCCCACGATGATCCACCGCCCTCCTAGCTGCTGCACTATTCTGAGCAAGCTCCCATTCTGCCAGCTGCGAATCGAATTGGCGGACGAGGGTAGGAGGGAGGAACACCATAAGGTCATAGGCCGCCCAACACCGTCCTTTCCAGATGCGCCAAAACACGAACACCAATCGAGCAACCTCCCTGCGTTGTTAAACCTGCATCGAAAAAGATTCTCCTCCAACCGATTGCAATATGGCAATCATGAAAGTGAAGGAGGAGGTGGCCCAAGCCCAGCAACTGCCAGACCGACTCGGCAATTCGGCACTGGAAGAAACAGTGAAGTAGGGATTCAGGGGCAACGGAACAACTTGGGCACAAAACCCCTTCTTCGTCATCTTCAGGAATTATGTCTTTGTCCTGCAGAACGACACGGACAGGCAAAAATCCGAGGACGAGCCGCCACAAAAAGAAGCGAAGTTTGGGTGGAACTTTCAAAGACCACAAGAACTTCCAAGCCTTAGAATCAAATATAATAGGGATAGTGGATGGATTAGCAATGAATTCAACAGAAGCCAGGTGATAACCCGACTTCACAGTGTACTCACCTGAGGTTTCATAATGCCAGATTAGGCGATCAGCGACGGGAAAACTCGGGAGTGGTATGCTGCAAATGAGACGCACCGTGGCAGCATCAAAAAGTTCAGTTAATAAACCCAAATTCCAAGCCCCTGTACCTTGTAAAATGAGACATGAAACGTATGGAAATGGCGGAACGGCATTGGGAAGGAGTTGAGGCCTGGTGGGCGGCGTCGTGGGCAACCACACATCTTCGGAGCCTCAGCCAACACAATTGACCAAAACCTATTATTTAATTTTCTTTTATTTTTTAAGAACTAAAATGAAAAAAAAAAATTAAAACCCTACCGCTTCTCATCCTCTTTTACCTTCGACTTCTCCTGCCGTCGCCGCTCCCTTTCATGGCTCCTTGCCGCCACCACCGCTCCCTCCACTTGCTGCTCCCTTCCAAAATCCCAAAAAACCCCAAATCGGTAGAAAACCTCTTCATCGGATTTTAGTGCTGCTCCTCTCCTGCTTAATCTCCTCATCATGGGTGTCCACAGTAGAGACGCAGGCCGCACCCACGCGGTAATCCACCTCGATTTTGGTCGCTGGTGAAAAAGAGACCAGAAAATCGAGAAAAGCTCGAACGATGCGACGGGAGATGGGGGAATATGAGTGCATGTGTAGAGGAGAATGGACTTATTAACGACATCTACATAGAGAGAATCAGAGAAGAAGATATGAATAATGAAGATTCGGCCAAATCCCTACTTCCTCTTTTGATTCTGGACCCTCAATCACACCAAGAATATTTGCAAGCTGGATTTCTTATGTTGGGGATTCAGGCATTCCAGGTCGAGGAAGGTCAGTTTTCCGGCCACCAAGTCCAATCTCCGACACTGCTCCGCCACCAACCGCCGCCATCAATGCATCCGCCTTATTAACCCAATAATTAGCCTTATTCTTCAAGATCTGCAAATTCCCAGCGAACTCCGACGAAGAAGCCAGAACCTGATTCGAGGTTCCAAATTCTACCCTTTCCATCTGCGTCTCTTTCCAGCATCGTAAGTTTACGCTCTCCACAACTGTATAACCCCTCTTTCATTCTATAAGAATCGACGGCACACTTTTAAGTAAACCGCTATGTTCCCTAGTTTCCGCTGGCTCTCCCACTACTCCCTTCAATGGGCACAGCTGAAAAACCACAACCCATTTCTTGATTCTTGTAGATTCCACCATTTCAACACAAAGTCAACTACTTTACCACCCGAAACCCCCCACAATACCCCCACAGTGGCAATTTTCTGGGATCTGGACAACAAGCCCCCTAACTCGATTCCTCCTTTTGAAGCAGCCATGAAACTCAAAAGGGCAGCATCCTCATTCGGGGTAGTTCAACACACGGTGGCTTACGCCAATCGGTACGCCTTTAGTTATGTGCCGCAAGCAGTGAGAGAGCAGAGGAAGGATAGGAAGTTGCTGAACCAGTTAGAAAACAAGGGCGTCATTAAGCCAGTAGAGCCCTATGTGTGCAAGGTTTGCGGGAGAAAGTTCTGCAACAACGAGAAGATGCTCAATCACTTCAAACAAATCCACGAGCGGGAGCATCAGAAGAGAGTGAACCAGATCGAATCGGCTCGAGGGAAGAGGAGGGTGAATTTGGTTGGCAAGTATGCTATGAAGATGCAAAAGTATAGGAATGCTTCGAGGGAGGTTTTGACTCCGAAAACTGGGTATGGGTTAGCAGATGAGCTGAAAAGAGCAGGGTTTTGGGTTGGGACTGTTTCGAACAAGCCACAGGCGGCTGATGTGGCGTTGAAGGAGCATATGGTGGATGTGATGGACAAGAAGAAGGCTGAGTGTGTTGTTCTTGTCTCGGATGATTCAGATTTCGTTGGTGTGGTTAAGGAGGCGAAGTCAAGGTGTTTGAAGACCGTCGTTGTTGGGAATTTGGAGCATGGGGCGTTGAAGAGGATTGCTGATGCAGGGTTTTCTTGGCAGGAGGTTTTGATGGGGAAGGCTAAGAAGGAAGCCATCTCAGTTGTGGAGAAATGGAGCGACCGTGAGATTTTGGAGAGGTTGGAGTGGAGGTTTGATCCGGAGAAGGAGAGAGACGCTTATGCTGCTGTGGATGCATTCTACAATGGGACTGAATGCAGTGAGAATTTGATGAATGCATTGCATAAAGTATTGTCCATCAAGGCAGATTGACTTAACTGTAACTGTTTATGTGGAACATTGTTCTTGTTATACGATGACCGTTTATTCTTGGTTCAGGTCTGAATTGTGCAGAAGCTGTGAATTTTGCTCCTGCTGACTGGATACCTCATGGTGGTTCGGAGCCAAGCTGTATCAGATGTATCATAAAACTGCTGTTTTATCTCATGAGGAGCTTCTTTGTGTGGTAGCCAAGGTCATTAGTTTTTTCATTCGTTGATTTTGCTCACTGATAGGGCATAAGAATGTTGTAGCAAAATTTTGTGGGCTCGGCAGATAGATGGAAATGGGAATTGGGGATTTCCTTGGTTGATTATACTGAGAAACTGTGTTGTGCTACAGTTAATTGCCGGCCTTGTATTGGAATTCATACTCATTGGGACAATTGGTTTGCACAAAGTAAGCTAGGCAGCAGGTTCAGCGAAAACAGCCTTGTGTGGTCCTAATGGTTGCAGTATGGAAATAAGTCCATTAACAATGTTAAACATTGTTGTTCATAATTGAAGAAGGATATGGTCTGCATGCTTGAAGCCTAAATGAATGTCATTGTTCATGCAGCATGATTTAATTCCTTGTGTTGTGATAAATTCTTAGGCTTCTGCAGTGTTCTGGTGAGGAAGAAATCCAATGTTGATTCGATGGCCATGGATTTCCAAAAGCTGGTCCGTATTCTCTTCTCGATTGATTGTTTATCCTTTCGTTTTCCCTGTTCAACATCTTTTACTTTGTTTGGTTGTCTTCCTGTAGAGATGAATGCAGGCATACTGATTGTCTGAATGTTATGGACTCATGAGATTGTTCCTTTCTTGGAGTTTTTTATAATCTGTACAATCAATAGGCACTTGTTAGTGTAAAAACTCTGGTCAATCAGAATGTGATTATTGGTGTTGCTTATATTTCTGTATGCTGCTCAGTTTCTCTTGGTCCAGATTCATAGCTATTTCATGAAGCAGCTATTTTTGAAATTAGTTTCATGGGTAGTCATGTGGTTGAGGAAATATATTAGCTCCCTTGTGATTTCCACTCCAATCTACAAATTTTAATGCTAACCAATATCTATTGTTATCAGGTCTCTGAACTGTCCTTGGCTGGATTTGTCGTCGGACTCCCATTGGTGATTGGACAGAAATAAGAAGTCGCCAAATGTAATCATATCTTATCCTTTGAGATATGCAAATGTTTTCGTTTCTTCACTCACTGTTGACATTCTGTTTCCATGTTTTAACCAGGGAAATGAAATGCATCTCTTTGTGGATGACTTATCTAGAACAGGGAAGCTTAGGAGTTTACCCTATACTTATTGGAATGAGTGCTTTTCATCAAAGGTGAGCTAGGCCAAGAGGGGGAGGTGGTGTTCAATTCAGTAGCTACTTTTTCTTCTTTTTCATTTCTCTTTTACTTTTGCTTCATTTATTCTTCTTCGGTCAAGGACCTGTATTTAATTGATCGAAATAAGATTCAGATTCACTTCATACGAACAAGGACTTGGTTTAGTGGTAAAACCACTACTCTTGAACCTGGAGGTCTCATATTCGAATTCCTTTAAGTACCTTAAGTAGTACCTAATTACAAAAAAGTAAACTATATCACCCTTTACTAAAAAATATTCACTTAGTGTTTGATTCCAGTTTCCTTCAAATTATGAGAGGGCATTGTAGTCTCACTTCGGGAAGCTTATGTGACCATAATGCTTGTTGGTTGCAAAATTATTTAGAGATCTTATTTGAGATTTGTTGGTTGCAGATCATTGGTCTTCTTATAGAACAATTAAGATTGCATCCTTTTGAAGTGAAAACCATGCATGACAAGTTTGCTGCATTTACAATCCTCCAGGTATCTTATTAATTTGGCATCTTTACGTAGAATGGAAACCCTGGACTTCTTTTGTTCTCTTACCTGCAAAATTCCTGTCTGCCATTTTTAAAATATTGAGGAGATTTGTTTACTTGCAAAAGGGGTATCTAGATTATATGAACAAAAGGCTGAAGTCCGTGGCAGCAGAAGGAAACCCTTCAGATACTGTAAGTTGCAGTTCTATACAACTACTGCGGAAGAAAAAACTTGACATCATCATACTTCTACTCCCATTTCTCTTGTGATCTTTGCATACACGGTGATGACCTCTTTCTGGTGCTTGCATGAACTTCGAGATAGAAGTCTTTTTTACTTTCCTTTGGGCCATGGTAGCCAGTGTTCCTTAGATCGTAGAAGTTACATTGCAAAAAAGAAAATCAACTCTATTTTTACTGTGCAAACTATTAAATCTACAATGGTAGTGTTTTGACGTTGCTATCAAAATATGGATTGGAGCCCAGTACCATGTGTGGGAGCCAACACTTTTAGAACATAGTATGCTGAAAGGGATTGAATCAATTAGTTTGGATTTGTTCCTCTGTTTGGTTAATGGCCCTAATGTGGAAATCTCTTAGCAGATCTTTTCCGCCTTTTGGAAGGTGAGTTAAGTGTGTTGCTCGTCATTTGTCCCACTTTGCAATTTGTGCATCTTAGAGGGAATGTAAAGGAATAGAAAAAAGGAGAAAGAAGGGAATGCTGAAGTTGTCTCTTTCAAAGTTTACCATGATAATCCAGGCATGAACTTCTCTGGCTGGGTTCAAATAACTGATTAGCAATCCTTGCAAGATGGTACAGAAATTAGAAAGCTTTTCTGCAACCTTATCTTCTGGATATTGACGCCTTCTTTAGCTCTTAAAGCCAAAAACTCCCTCAAAGGGAGAGTGGCTTTTTTTCATGTCATGCACGAACCATTTTGGCTCAATATGGGAGTAACACAGCTTTTTAGTAACACCAGTCGTGGGCTTTTTCCGTAAAGGGGAAGCTCAAGCTAGCCTTGCAGTTAGGGCTGCAAATGAGTCGAGTTGAGTTTTACCTCAGTTTGAGCTCGGCTCGTATATAAACGAGTCGAGCTCGAGCTCGAGCTAGCTTGTTTATTAAAATTTTAAATTTTATTGGGTACTATATTTTGAATATAATGATACATATGATTTATTTTGTTAGCTAATCTCATATTATACTTTGTTGGTATTATATATCATTTAGTTAATAAATTTTAACTTCTCCAATATTTCATAGTATCGAAACAATCTATGATTCATAATTTCTTTTTAAAGTACAAAATAAGATATATTTGCTCACATACTCAACGTGTTAAACTTTATATATGGTGAGATATATAATTTAACAACCATATGAATTAAAATCATAAGATATAGATTGATTCGTCCATAAGTTGGTAATCGAGTTGGCTCTCTGGTCACATGTTAAGACATATCATGAGCTCTAAACGAGCCAAGTTATGAGTTTAGCTCAACAAGCCACCGAGTCGAGCTAGCTCACGAGCTTCACGAGCTGAACAAAAGTGAGCTCGTGTTCGGCTCGTTTATTAATGAGTCGAGTTTCGAACGAGCTTTTCTCGAGTCGAATACCGAGTCGCTCGCGAGAAGCGCGACTCATTTGCTGCCCTACTTACAGTTGCCCTCCCATGAAAATGGAATAGCTGAACATTCAATCATTCATACAACCACTGCATCTGTGTGTGTTTCGGTAACTCATCGAGGTGTTTGGTTGACTACATTTAAGGGGTCGTTTGCGATTGTTTTGGTGAGATTGTTACTGTACATGTATTGTTTAGAATGTATCATTTTTTTATATTATTTTTTAACAGAATCAATACATGGATTATTTATGTGATGTGACAGAAACTATCTCTCAAAATGAGCGATTATTATATCTCTGCTTTTAGTTATAATTTTTGAATTGAGATTATTTTGGGGTTAATTGCATGGTTGGTCACTGAGATTGCGAAAAACGTTTATGTTTGGTCACTCAAAATATTTAAATTTCATTCATAGTCACTAGATTTAGTAAAACAATTCAAGTTTGGTCACTCTCCGTCCAACTCCGTTAACTTTGTCTGTTGTGACAGTCAACTCTCAAAATTGACCGTTAAATATATGACGTGATAATTAAAAAAATCAAAATTTCCATCTCATTATTACTACCACTAAACCTCACTAATTATCAACTCCACCTATGTCGCTCCGCCGCATGGACCCACAACCCCAACCTTTTTCTTCTGCTCCTTTCTCTTCCTCTTGGCTTGGGCTTCTTGAATTGGGGATAACTAATCGCAAGCAAGCAATCAGAATGCCCCATTTCCAAAACCCTAACACAAGACACTACAGAATTGTGCAAATTTCGGTCAATTCGAGAAGAAAGACGAACCTTGGCGACAATGCGCCGGAGCTTCCTGACAGTACTGGAGAGCGAAGCATTCTCTCTCAACAAGTTGTCCTGTTCAAACCCCCAAAATAAAATAATAATAAAAAAATTCAGCCGTCGAGAGTCATCGTGAGCCACAATTAAAAGCAGGAATGAGAGGAAAATAAAAGACCTTTTCTTGGTCAGCGAGGGAGAACTTGTCGGAGGCGACGGGGAGGGCGGAGTCTAGGGATTCGATCTGGCATCTCTAGTGTTAATTTGTTTTTTTTTTTTTGCCAAAGGTATCCCGTAAGGGAAACAACAAGATATGCGGATATAAATACATGACCTATTCAGGCCTAATCACAAAATTGAAATAAGGAAGAGACGCTGGTCAACCGAAAGGCGATCAAACGATAAGAGGGCTTGTTTTGCAACGATATGGGCAGCCCATATGATACCTTAACGACATGTGTAATATCATGATTTCTTCCCTTAAAAGGATCAATATCATGAACTAACCATGCTAAAATTGAAGCAGAGAAGCAAATCCTTGTAGATATGCCTGGAGGACCAACTTTTCCTATGCACAGTTTAACCTGCACAATAAACAAAACACAGAGCCCGGAACACCTCACAAGAATTGCGGAATTAAAGTCGGTTGATCGTGCTCCAAAAATCATGGTCAACCATCACCAGAACTCCAAAAGGCTGAGAAACGATCGGCCAAAAGCAAACCAATCGAGATAACAATTCCGACCCTACAAAACAAACAACACAAATAAAAGAGGATCCCTTAAAAAAGAATCAAAATGCCCTTGAGGCATCGCCAGATCGGATCTTCCAAGAACAGCAATTGTGGTGATGTAGCCAGTTTCACAATGATTAAACCTTTCCAAGCCCACCAGACTTAGGCCCACCATGTCCTTTTGAGTTGGGAAAAAGACAGGCGAACGCCCTTCACTCCACCGCCTCTCCAACTCTATCCACCAAAAGTACAAAAACAAAAAACAAAATAGCAAGGGAAATAACCAAAATAAACTAAAGTAATAATAAGCAGATAAGGAAAAGAAAAGGATGAGTTATCCGCTTCGCAACCGAGGCGCCGAGAGCTTATCCGATGGCCTCCCAACCGCCTCACCGCCACCTTCACCGACTTCATTCCGGAGGAAGAAGCTGGATGATCGAGCTGCCGACGATTAGATTCGGGATGGTGAAGGTGGAGCTATCAATTGGGAAGCCATACCGCCCGCCCTCGTCGCCGGCGATTCTCTGTCTCCCAGCAACAGATCAATAGAAACTAGCTGCCGACTTCCATTTTCCCTCCTTCACTTCCCGATATGGCCGGAGGTAGTCGCTAGCTGGGGAACTTCGGCCTCCTTGTTCCCGAGACCAGAAGCATCCTTCTCCATCACTGTCAGTAACAAATGATAATGAAGACGAAGATCCTTTGCAGAAGCAGCAACCAGAAGCTGAAGGCAGAACAAACTGAAGATGCAGGGGATTACTAAGAAACGAAGAAGAAACTCTACCCAGAAACGGAAACCCATCCAGCATTAGTTGAAGAGCAAGACGCCGCCGTTGTGGAGCTCGAAGACTTACCGTTGGGTGGAACTTACGTGGACGAATGGGAAAGGAACACACGTCGTTTACATTTACTGTCAATTTAAATTTCATTTTGTATTTTCCGATTTCACTGTTTTGTAGCTTGAACTTTACTCTTCAGTCTGAATATAAGAATAGCAGAGAGATCCCTTGCTCTCTTGCGCATTTCCCATTTCCGTGCAGTCTTTCTCTTTCAATCAACCCTAGCAGTAGCTAGTTTTCTCATGGTATCAGAGCGGTTACAGATCCAGTAACCCTAATGGCGGAGACGCCTCCAAACACTCCTCCTCCAGGCAGCATTCCGTTCGGCACCTACTCTTGGATGAATTCCGGGACGACGAGCAACGCCAAGAACAACACCAACAACAACAATAAACGCGCAGATCTACAATTTGGTAATCCCTTTTACATCAATCCAAATGAGAACATCTCTCAATGTATTTTTTCATAAGCTCTCGATGGTACCAAATTACCAGATGTGGTAGAGAGCAGTTCGAATGGCTCTCAAAACAAAGCATAAAATTGGATTCATCGATGGGTTTTTGCGATTCCAGGTGTAGGGGATGCAATGTATAGTACTTGGGATGCCTGCAACACCCTAGTACTCTGTTGGATTTTAAACTCTATTGATAAGGAGATTCGCAGAAGCGTTATGCAGCATGAAGTAGCTCGAAATCTATGGGAAGAGCTTAAGGCTCGTTTTGGGTTCACCAATGCTATTAAGTTGTCAAATATGCAGCATCGGATCATTGCTTGTAAACAAGGGAATTTGAATGTGACCCAATATTATACTGCCCTGAAAGGTTTGTGGGAAGAACACCTTCAGTTTAGCCAAATTGTAGACTGTAATTGTGCTCCACAGAGGATTCAGCCTTGTGCTGCTGTTGAAGCTTTTAAGCAGCAACAAGAGGTCAACTATGCTGGTAAGTTTATTCTCTCTTCCTACTTGCAGCATGAGATAGGATCTCTTTCTCGCTCCTGGATTCTTGACATTGGGGCTTCTGATCATATTGCTTGCAATCTTGGTCTATTGTGTGAATCTATTCCTATGAAAGAACAGTTTGTGTATTTACTAACTGGCACTAAGGTGGTGGCCAGTCACATAGGAAAAGTCCAACTCTCTCCTGATTTATCATTAGAAAACTTTCTCTTAGTGCCTAGCTTTACCTTCAACTTGATCTATGTCAGCAAACTCACAAATGACCAGCCCATATCCTTACATTTTGAGTCTGATTCTTGTCAAATTCAGGACCTGGTGACCTAGAAAAGGACTGGTATGACAAGACAGAGTAATGGCCTATATCAATTGGACACCAAGACCACAACACCTTTTCTACCTACACCTCAAGCAACCATCTCTTATAATTTTTAACCACAAAACATCCAGCTATGGCACTGGAGATTAGGGCATCCCATCAAAGACAAGGAGAAGCAACTGTTACCTGCTGAAAAAGTTGTTGTCTCTCATTGTTCTACTTGTCAATTTGCTAAACATAAACGCCTTTCCTTCCCAATTAATATTATTAGAGCAGTGGATGCTTTTGATTTGATCCATGTAGATATCTGGAGACCATTGGTAGTTAAGTCCCATGACGGTTTTTCCTACTTTCTTACAATTGTGGATGACTTTACAAGGGCTGTATGGGTGTTTCTTATGAAGTTTAAGTCTGAAGCTGACAATTTATTACAAAGTTTTTGCACTATGGTTGAGAACTAGTTTTCCAAATCTGTTAAAGTCATCAGAAGTGATCAGGGTTCTGAGTTTCATTTAACAAAATTTTACAATATTAAAGGCATCATACATCAACAATTGACTCACTCCTACTGTCACTCTAGAAAATGGCCAAGTGTAACCACTTCCTAAAGCGTAGTATAGCGGGTTTGGGTTTTAATGTCAACCCGGGTCCTAGATGTGATGACTACTCAGTGAATTCGTATTATCTAGCAATGAAACTTTAGTGAAGGTCTAAACTAACAAGCAAGCAAAGCAACTAAACGGTTGTTTTCATGTTAAGAGAGGTCACCCGGATATGGTTCCCCCTAGACTGCAGTTAAGCCGGATTGTAATTACCAAGTTCAATTTCTATGATAGTTATACTGCGGAAGGTTCTCAAACAGTCTGAAGTCTC